GACGCCCACTCCCCCCCCCCCCCCCTGCGCCGCTAGGGCATAACAGTGGCGGCAGCGGGAGGGCTACCTCCACGCCCCCTGCACCACGGCATTACAACCTCATCAGGAATCAAGTCCGTGACCTTCTGGTTTGTAGCATAATGCCTCAACCGTGTTACTGTGTGCCCAAATGAACAGTCCCTAGCAGAATTTATGCCATTCTTCTTGAAGAACACCTTCAAGTTGGTTCAGAGGTATTGGAGGTGGGAATCTGTTCTTCACTCTAGTCTCCAAAACTGACCAGTGGTTCAATGGTGTACAGATGTGGTAATTGTGCTAGCCAGGGAAGATGTTGAAATTCACCTTCATGCTCTTCAAACCAAAATGGAACAGTTCCAGCGGTGTGAATGGGGGCACTGTGTGTTGTTCGGAAATAACGTCTGTATCATGGGATGCACCTGATTACTGAACCTGTCAATGTACTTCATTGCAGTAATCTGGCCATTAAGAGTAATAAAGGGATGAACAGAATAGTGTACCATGACATTCTTGCTGAAACCATCACAGAACCTCCCCTATGTTTCACTGCTGGAACCAGGCATTCCGGATTGTAGGCTTCCTTGGGTGTTCTCCAAATGTAAACTCTTCCTGATGTACAGAACAGTGTGAATGATGACTCATCTGACCACATTATGCGTGTATTTCCAGTTCTCTGATGTCCATGTCTCATAGCCATGATGTGACACTATCACTTACACATCTGAGCATTATTTTCAGTAATCAAAGGTTTAGCAATTGCAGCCCTACCATGGATGTTGAATTTGTGAAGCTCATGTCAGACAGTTTTTGTGGAAACAGGGCCTTCAAGATGAATATTCAGTTCTGCTGGCACCTGTGCTGCAGCAGTTCTGTGAGTTTTCAAAACGATCATTCTCAGTGCTAATTTCTGCCCACTGTTCCTCTTCATTGTAGTGTGGCAGTTGTTGTAACAGATGCTCCAGCTAAATACACACCATGATCTGTCCTCTTTCAAATTGGACAAGTCTCCCATTTTCCAGTTCTTTCACAAGGACTGTCACAACACAATCACTAATGCAGTTGGACATTAAAATTCCTAGATATTTAGATTTTCCACAGTGGCATTTCGTTTTTTAATTGTTGCTTCATTTTCAAAATTCATTATCTCAACCATGCGTTGTTACAAAATTATGAAACAAAAAGTCTCTAAAAGACCAATTATCAGAGTTCATATAGCTACATTTTCGTTTACATAGTCATTATATTGAAGTTTTTATGTACATATTTTGTAATGTTCTGTACTTTTGGCTTTATTCTCAAAAAGTACGCCACTTTTGCCACCGACATGCATTTCACTTCCCAATATGTGATCATAAAGGTATGTTTGAATCATGTACATTCACTATACACAGTCTTGACTGGTGTCTGGTGTTTAGGCCTCAGCATAACTTTCACTGTCAACAAAATTTAGAACTTGAGTAGGAGGTGAATCCTCCTCTCACTGAACAGGGACAAATATATGGGTGTTTCCAGAATTTTCTTCCAGGAAGAACAGCTTTTAGTTGACCAAAATTGACCTGTGCAAAATAATCTACATACCAGACAGATATCAAAGAGGTAGATGTTGATAATAACGAAGAAATAACAATGTGTTTTTTAAATGTTAAATTTTAGACTGGGTTCAGTGTGGCAGTAACGTAAGAGTATACACCTGATGATGGCCGTTAGAGGCCGAAACATGTAGTGTAGAGGAGAACAAGATCAAGGACATATAATATATATTGTTTGCACTTGGGACGGATTTTGTATTATTTATCGTGTAGAGTGCAACAGGATGCTTAAATATAATATTGTGTACAAAATGATTTACTGAGCTGATAAAATATTTCAGATTGCTTCATACTTAGGACTACTACATGTATATACTGGGCCATACTGTCTTTGATATCATGCAGTTACAACCAGTACAACTGGTCACATTTAAGCAACTGCAACTGTTGGTCATCCATCCATATGTGAAAATACGAAGTGATGATTACACTAACCTTACTGTAGTCTTCTGACAGTATTTCAAAAGTTACAACTTCTGAATCAAAACATCTTTCAAACTTCATAGACAAGTTATTAACATCATAACACCGCACTCTGGGCTTGTAGATTCCAGTTGCCAGAATAAAGTTGCCATCTGGAGAAACCCTGACAGTTGTGCTTAAACCAGGCATTTCAAAGTCCTGGATGAGTTCAATCCTTCTTCGTATATCTACAGAAAAAGTAACACATAAATATGCAAAACCTTAAATTCACTTGCTGTTTTATATGCAGTTAAACAAGGTTCCTCATCCTAGGGGGAAAACAGATTCAGAGTTTTGAAAATAAATTGCTGAAGAGAATACAGGGCCTATGAGAGGAAGTAACAAGGAAGTGGGAATTTATTTCTGGTTTATTTTATGATGGCCTCAGTATCTTGACGACACAGCATTAAATGGTGAGATGACTGGCTAATAAGGAGTTGAAAAAGACTTGGAAGGAAGAAGTCATGGCTTGACTGGGAGCGATACTGATTTTTTGCCTGGAGGAACTGGGGAAATTCACAAAAAGCCTCAGCTGGGCTAGCCAATGTCCTAGCTGAGATTCAAACCAAGCACCTCTCAAGTACAAATCTACGGCATTAATGCTACACCAACCTGCTCAATAAGATGGAGAAATTTACATCATGAAGAGCTTCATAATTTATACTCTTCACAGATTATCACCATGGCGATCAAATTATGGATGACAAGTTTAGACACATAGCACATGGTGATGAGGGAATAACATTAAAATGATCTTAAAGGAACAGGAAGATTATGTGATCTGGACACAACAGGCTCAGTATGGTGTCCTGATGTGGGCTCCTATAATCAATGAAGTAAAACATAAAAGGCACGCAAGTTCTTGAATAGCTTAGCAACTACTGGTTTTTGAAGACTCTGCCAGGTAGGTACACATAACAAAATAATACATGGGGTACCACAGGGGTCAATTCTGGGACCACTACTGTTTCTTCTGTATATAAATGAGCGCCCACTAAATGAACAAAGTGCGGAAATGGTATTGTTTGCAGATGATATTAATGTGCTTGTTATTGATAAAGATAAAGATGTAGCTCAACAGAAAATAAATAAGATCATGGAACAGCTTGAAACATGGTTTCAGGTAAATAATCTTTTAACAAATAATAAAAAAAAAAATTGCTATGTCATTCCATCTTAGTAAAAGAATGTTTGTAGTTAGACTGCAGATACTCTATAATAACTTGGAAATTGCTCACTCATCCAAACTGAGATTTTTAGGTATAGATATTATAGAAAACCTTAAATGGAATACCCACATTCAGTCAATATGTTCAAAGCTTAGTAAAACATCCTATATAATTAAATCACTAAGAGGAGTTTTGAGTCCAAATATGTTAAGAATCATTTATTTTGGAAAGTTTCAATCGTTATTGAGATATGGAATAATATTTTGGGGGGTGAAGGTAATAATATAAAGGTATTTAAAATGCAGAAGAGGGTGCTGTGAATAATTAGTGCACTTGGTAAACAAGAGTCATGCAGGCAAATTTTAAAGATTACGGCATCCTCATGGTCACTTCTCTGTATATCTTACAGGTGTTATCTTATATAAAAAAGCACAAAGCAGATTTGTTCCAAAATATAAATATTCATAGTTATAATAAAAGAATAAACAATGATTTTCATGTTCAATTCTGCAGAACTACATTTAAAAAAAAAGTGTGGTAAATATGGGGATAAAACTGTATAGTAAGGTGCCAAACAAAATAAAAAATTTGGTGGGTTTTTCAGCTTTTAAAAAAAGACTTAAAAATCCTTTTTATTGAAACATTCTTTTTATATGATAAATGAATTTGTTAGTTTTAATAAAAAAGTGGATGGTGCAAGTATTTATGTTTGGATGTCATAGCCATTCATGAGCTGTATACAGCAGTTTGTGTATTTTTTTGAAATGTTGTATTTACAGTAAAACTTGGTTATAGCAACATCGGTTTCTGCGACACCTTGTCTATTGCGTCAAATATTCAATGGTACGAACTAATTCCTCATAAAGCAACTATTTTTATACCTTGCTTAGTACGACATGCACAAATGCATCAACCTCGTATGTAACGTCATTTTCATTCCTGAATTTCTCTGAGATGGACACTGAACGTAATTTAGAAAGTGTGTATGAGCAAGTAACAGGAAACAGATGAAGATAAATGATTACTGTACTCGTATCTAGGTACAGTAAGGCACAATTGATGTAATCTACTGTAATTTGGTGAGTAGGCCTACCTTTAATATACAGTATTAGTGCGGTGTGTATTGTCAGTGAAAAGCGCTGTAATATGTCTTTGATATTACATATTTGGGCAATTCCACGTTAATGTTAGGTTAGTCTGTACTTAACTACGTATTTCACTAAAAAATGCAACATTTTAACTCGGTTTTTGGTAGATTTTTACGTGACTAACATAAGGCTACTGTGGAAGTGCCCATTTCGGTTACAACAACATTCGTTTATAACGACACTATTTTTAGGTCCCTTTGATGACGTTATAACCAAGTTCTACTGTATATATTGCTCATGATTGTAACAAATGTTGAGAGTATGCTTGTAACTTTGTAGATTTGTTTTGTTAACCTGTACTGCCAAATGACTTGTCCAAGTGTTACTATGTAGCAAAAATGGATGAAAATAAACACAAATACAAATACAAAAGGTACAAATGTAAAAGGTAAAGTTGTCCCAGTGCTCAATTCATTAAGCACTATGCCATGAAGCTGTATGGGGCAGTGGAGACACAGCTCCACCGCTCTTGACCTTGGCACTAGATCAAAGTGAGTAGTCAGCATTATGATGGCCCCTGCCAGGAATTGAACCCCAGCCATCCAGGCCTGTAGCCCATTGCTATATGGACTGAGCTATCCCGGCTACTGTAAAAAACTAATCTTATACTACAATAACAGGGATGCTTAAAAAACAGCAGAAGACAAAACGAGAAATGTTTTTGCATTCACCTGAAATCTTTTGCTGATTCCAAGAATCTAAGTAGCAATTTACTTACTGCAATTAGGAACTTTCTAAAACGAGAAAATATTGGGTATTCCCGCAAACTACCAGAATCACACTTGTGGAACTATAAAATATAAACAATCATAGGACATAGCAACAGTTGGTGTGAATCAAACCTCAAACAATCCTTGACAACAGCCTTTTAAATAATGTATATGCATGCATGATATTACACTGCATTCAAAAACTGGAAGTCTTACCAACATTCTTCTTCTGCAGTGCCCGTCTCTTGCGATCAGATAACCACTAAAATTAAAAGAAAAAAAAAATATTCTCATATTCATCCTAATCTGGTTGAATCCAGTGCCAGACATGAACTACCCATTCATAAAATGCTTTTTTGGTCACAGTATTGAATGTCCTGGTTACTTTAATCAAAGACTGTTAACAGAAAGGTGTACTCTGGTAGTATACACTTCCATTTAAGCACTGTATGTATTTTGTGTTTGGTGCAGGAGGAAAATGAAACAAAAAAGTTTACACATAGTTTCACACTATGTCAACTTAATTTTACTTAAATAAGATTCAATGCTTGGATATATCTACAAAAGTGTTAACCCACATCAATTTAATACATCCATTTCTTTCATATGGTTCAATGAATTTCAACAGAATCTTGAAGAAGAACCCACCTTCCACAGCCATGCCACCTGTCTTTCGAATGGTATTTACATAGTCAGGTGGTTATGACTATCTGCAAAAGGTCCATGATTCAAACTCCTTAGTAACTTGTGGGCTCTTTATTCAGCTTATGAGCAAGACTCAAACTTCGTACACAAGGGGATAATCTAGTAATTATGTGATGGAAAGTGCAAAAATTAGATGTAAGTCAGTTCTTCAGATTAACAAGCTGGTGATGTTATGTTCACATGTTCACAAACAGAGCAGTAAATATGAATATTAAATTTATTATCTTAATATGCAGTTGAGGTTAAACATACATCTTTCTGCTTCAGCACGTTTTTTTCATTTTATCTGTTCAGTGCTTCAAACCTACTTTTTGTAATGTTATATTTTAGCGCCCTGTTACACTTTTACTCTACTTTTTGTATTCTGTAGGAAACGGTAAGTTCACGGTACAATTATGTCTGTGTGTATGGATTTGTGTTTGTATACCTCTCATAACTTTTGAACCAATTGCTAATTGCTAGTAAAATCTCATGGCTTTGCAGACCATCACACCTTCATGCTATCACTACCATCAACAAAATCATCAAGGTAACCATGCAAACATCTGAGGTGAAAGAACAACCATGTAATGTAAAACCATGAAATATTTCATGATGAAGGATCTTCAAAGAATATGCAGTTGTTACAGTCATGTCTGTGGTGAACATAAAACAATACTGTTCTACCATGTCAAATCTTAATTTATGTACGGCAAATACATTGCACATGGTGGATCATATTTCATATTTATAGATTTAATGCCAATATCAATAACAGGATGCCCACAAAAATAATAAACATTACAATAAAACAATCTAATCTGTGATAAAATTTAGAATTATTTTAGATATATTTCCTAAGGTTCAGAATTGGAAGCCACTGTACATACTTTACCTGCAAAAATGATGTATTGATTGAACAGTATTAACTTCCATCAGCTAATATTCATCACAGCTGCTTTAGATGAAAGGTATGTTATATGAGTTATGTTTTACAGCTTCATTCATTTGGTTGTTTTCTATTCAAGGACTACAACTAATATATTCATACAAGGTGATTCAAATATGACCGGGACTGATTTTTTTTTTAAACATAATTGCCAAACACTTACTTGCACATGTCAGTCTTCAACATACTACTCTCTGGAGTCAACAAATTTTTTCCAACGTTCTGGAAACCTTTCTGATGCCCTTTTAAGAAAAGGCTTGTGGCTGGAGGTGTATCCACTCCCAAACAGTCTGGATGACGGAGTCCTTGTCCACAAACTGCATGCCTTGCAAGTCTGATTTGAGCCTTCCAAACAGGTAAAAATCACTTGGGGCCAAATCGGGACTGTATGGCGGATGTGTCAGAACGTTCCACTTCAGTTTCCGGAGGGTTTCCATTGTTGTTTTGGCCGTATGGGGCTGCGCAGTGTCTTGAAGGAAGGCTACCCGCTTTCCAGGTGTCTTCCGCTTGGATCAGAACTTTTCCTTCACGTCTGTTGCCAGGAGGTTTGAGTAATAAGCTGCATTGACTGTTCTGGCATCTGTCAGAAAGTCTACATGGATAACCCCCTGCCAGTCCCAGAAGAACGTTGCCATCACTTTTCCTGCCGAACAGCTCCTCCGTGCTCTCTTGGGTTTGGGAGAACTGGTATGCCACCACTTCCATGATGACCGCTGGGACTCGGGAATGAAGTAGTGCACCCACGTTTCATCGGTTATCACTACAGACTTAAAAAATGCATCACCTTTGTCTTCAAACTGCTGTACGAGATGACTGGTAGCTTGCATGCGCACCATTTTGTTCACGTCCATCAAAGCGCATGGTACCCACTGTGCATTCACCTTGCGATAGTGCAGGTGGTATTTCACGATGTCTTCTACACTACCAACACTGATGGACAGCATTGCTCCAAGTTCCTTGATTGTTATGCGCCTATTCTCACGAATAAGCGCGTCTGCACGATCAACGTTTGGCTCGGTGATGGATGTTCGCAGCCGACGATCATGCGGTTCATTCTTCATGCGCTCTCTGCCCTCTCTGAAGCACTTACACCACTCAAACACACAGGTCCATGAGAGACACTCTTCCCCATACTGTTGTTGGAGTCTGTGGTGAATTTCAGCGGATGGGATGTTTTCTCCAATGAGGACTTTGATCACAATGCGTTGTTCCATGCTCCGCAGTACCTTCTGTTCGCTTATCACTCTAGCAACTCCCAGACAGGACTAAACAGGTTCTAACCCTAACAGGAGGGAGGGTGGAGGTTGTGGCTTCACTCTCTCTAGGTCGCACACCTGCTGAGCGTGCGGCTTGTTTACACACAATCAGTCCCGGTCATATTTGAACCACCTTGTATTTAATACAGAATGAGCCAAAAGTAGGTGTGCACCTACGACAGATGATTAGTGTATTCAGAGAGTCCCTGTATATTAACATAAATACATCTCTCAGACTTACTTAAGTTATAACAAATGCTGGAAATTGCCCTCATGTGCTTGTAGACACACATCTACACATCTTTTCTTGTTTGCAAGGACACATGACAATCCAATCAGAAGGATGTTCTTGATGAAATTTGTGATGAATTTCATCAGTTCAAGAATGTACAGACTGCATTTGTAAACTGCACCTTTCATTGTTCCCCACAGATAATAATCAAGGGGTGTAAGATGGGGAAAAATATCCTTTGAAATTATTCTGTCCCTGAACACATGAAACAGTATCATCAGGGCTGTGCGCGCAGTAGCACCATCCTGTTGGAAGCAGCCACGGGCAATATCATCCTCATTTACATGTCCTATGAAAGAGTAAAGAATCCCTTCTCAATAATGCTGCAAGCTGATAGTGTCATTGAAGATTATCTGATTTCATAACATGGCACAACAGAGTACACACAAATCTTCTGTTCATATAACGGTGTACTGTTGAGCTCATATGGGTTAGTCAATGACCAAACGCAGATGTTTTGGCTGTTGATGTAACCAGATAAATTAACCAATGCCTCACTGGTAAAAAGTGTGACATATAGAATATCCTCTCCATTGGCAATATTCAACAATCTTGATGATGTCCTGTTCTTTCAATTCATTCACTTATGTTATCTTGTAGGGATGCAGGTAAAAATCCTTCTTCAGCACTCTACAAGTGTTGCAATACAAAAAACCCATTTGCTACTCCAATTTACAAACATTAATACTAAGAATGAGGAGGTTTTATAGTTTGAAATTTTGGTGCACAGTAACTTTTGGCTCATCTTGTATTTACAATATGATTCATATGGTTGGGTTTAGATGGTTGACCATGTAATGATACAAAGGGTTGGGTGTGTACCTCTTTTAAAGTTTTAATATTGTACAATGTGTGAGTGTATGGCTTTGGTTCATATTTTAGTAGGGTAAAAAGGCAAAGTTGTCCCCGTGCTTAACTGATTAAGCACTATGCCATGAAGGTGTATGGGGGAGTGGATGTATAGATCCACATTTTCTTGACCTTGGCACTAGTTGGAGGTGAGTGGTCAGCTTCACGCACCTGCTGCTTTACCCCCGGGGAAAGGACCCCCAGTACCCATTGGATAGGAGGTTGGGTGGACCCCAGAGCCAGTCTGGACGATTTGGAGAAGAGAAAATTCTTGCCCCCACCGGGACTCGAACTCCGACCCCTTGGTTGCCCAGTCTGTAACCAATCTCTATACTGACTGCGCTATGCCGGCTCCTCATGTTACAGTTCAAGTCCAAAAATTTCACACTTTTACTATGGTCACAGACCTGCCACAGATATTCTTGCATTGGTCATGCCTCCCCATTGGTCACCGTATTCCTGACCTGCAACGAAATATATAGGCACTCCGCCAGCGGCATCGACTTCGGGACATCCCCTCCTACTCAAAAAAATCAAAGCAAACTCGAAACGAATACCTCCCAAATAAACTATCAGAACTGCAGATGAGTTAATCTGTTTCTTAAATCCAGATTCAAAGATAAATGTCCAATGACTTCTAATGAGAGCACAAGACATACTTTCACAAATCTTACATTAATGCACTTCTTACTGTGCTGCTTTCGTGATACATCTAATTGAAAACAAAAGAAAGCATACCTCTGGCAGTGATTTTCCCGCACTCAGGTTGTATATCTTCACATTATTTGGATCGGACACGAACATGATTACAAAAGCAAATTATTAACCAATTTTCTCACACCTAACTTCGCATGACAAAACATGCTATAGATTAGCACGTTTACTATTCACTTGAAAACGAATCGATACCAAATTACTCTTCTGCCATCTATATTTGAAATAGATACATATCTCGAAGAAAGTTTTCGGTGTCGCTAGATGGATAGAGAAGTTTAAAATTATGAATTTATTTACGCCCGAGCAATTTAAGCAACAGATCCTAACCAACATGATTTAAATCTCACCCATCACTCACGCCGATTTAACAGTGAGGTGTTTTAACATCAAAGTTCCCGTCGTGTAACATAAGTAGGGATGGCAGGCATTGGCTGGGTGGGAAATAACAATGATGCTGGGCTTCTGTTTGCTACTGTTGGTTGGGGCTGGTAAAAAAGTTGAAAAGGCTACATCTCAGGAAGAGATGTTTCGTTTCAGGATTAAGTGCTGTAATGGAAGTGAAAATCAGTATTTATCTTTCGCATTACAAGACAATGTAATGTCACAATAAATGTGGGAAGTATTAAACATGTTTGCTTGTATATGAATGAATAAGGTGTCCTTAAAGATAATTGTAGTTTAACGTGCATTTCATTCATGTGATTGTGAAATCAGAATGACTGAGATACATTTGTGGTATGGTCTTGATAAACTCGCAATCAACTTCGAACCATCAGATCTACCCAAAGACATAATTAAAGTGTGCAAAATAAATAGGCATATATTTGCACTGACAAATAGCAAAAGTATTTATCATAGTGAAATGGAGCCAAATGGTGAAAATAAAGTGATTTTCACTAATACGAATATATCAGCAATAGACATAGCCTGTAATAATAAAATACTGTATTTTGTCAGTGATAGTGGACAAGTTTTTAAAACAGACCCAGAAGATTTGGCTATCAAAGAAGAGATCATTTTGAAGGAAGATGCAAAATGTTGTAGTCATGGTTACAAAACATCAGGGCACAGAGTCAAAGTGAAGACTGTAGTGGCTGAAGAATGTAGTTGCTTGTATGTTACTGAGAGTGGGCAACTTTGGATGTCTGGTAACCAACCAAAGTTGGGGAAGCATGATGAAGTTCCTCAGAGAGTTACATTTTTTGAGAAACGTTATGTGATTTCAGTTGCATGTGGAGCAAATTTTAGCATAGCTTTGGTCTATAAACCAGGACACTCTGTCCCAGACAAAGGTAACAGTGACACTGATGATGACAATGAAGATGTGTTTGTGTCGGATTGTCCTATATGCATTTCATCACCAACATCTCAGCAGTCTGCTTCAGACACATGTCCTCTTGGTCTGCATGTGCAGCAAACAAGTGATGAGCATTGTTCCACATCAAGTACCAGTAAGGGGTATACAGCAGAGGACAAGAGAAGCACAGATGACTCTACATCTGCATCAACAGATGAAAAGACTGATGGGAAAGATGAATGTTCTGTTGCTGAAAAGAAATTGCATCTACATTCAGATGGTGATGATCTTCCTGCAGATGAGAGTTCACAAAGCATTGTGGAAGGTAGTCAGAACATATCAAGGACTGTAAAAACTGTTCAGAGTGATGCAAATGAGGGCAACAGTGAATGTATGAAGGAAGAAAAGAAGAATGAATTTTTCATCAGTACGGAGGCTGCTCGCCAGTTTCTTACAAGACAGCTTTCCTGGGTATCTGGCTATGGAAGTGCTGGTGAAGATCTTGTTGAGTGTGCAGAGGCTTCTCTTGCTCTTCCATCTCGTATTATCAAGCAGAATATGTCTAGTGTGGCAAGTCTTGTGTATGAAGGTGTTAAGACAGTTGGTGACAGGGGAGCCATATTATTCCGACACATGAGCGGAGGATCAGAGACAAGTGGTAGTGTACCTGGAGGCCTTGCTGGCTGTGGATCATTTGAGGATTTAAGTGCTGAGGATTTCATTGTAGCTGCACCTAGTATCACATCTAGTCTCAGGTATTGTGTTCATAGCGAACAGACCAATGCTACAGTATGAGTGATCTCTAAACATTCATGTTACAATTTACGGGTCTTAGACAAGGATGGATTCATAGCCCATTGACATTGTAACATTCATAAGTATGACCCAAGGCAATAAATCTGTGTTCAGTGAGACTGGGAAATTACCACTTGAATTTCCTTGTCAGACATATTACCATGCAGATTTAAGGCTGTTAATTATCATTTATTTTTAATGCTCTGCTATCACTTGCAAGTATAAGTAAAAACAGAAGTTGTTTTAAATACCAAGCATATCTGACAGCATAATTAATTTTACTGTTCTGGGTAACCTGTACATTTTATGCCATATTCAACTTGGTAGTCAAATTTTTAGAGGCAAAGAAGTTAACACAAATTTGCTTTGATTGCCTTTAGAGATGGGCATCAGGATAACACAGTAACTGCATACTCATTAACGTGTGCACACCCATGATATCACATGTCAAAGAATTTATTTCTCATACTAGGTTTCAGATGTGTCCTGTTCAGAATTCTTTTTCAACACTTCTCCACCCATCATTTTCTGAAGTGATCCTTTTTTTCATATCTTCTGTTTTGTTTGATGTCCCTTATATTCTGCATGTTGTATAAAGACATTTCTCTGTGAGTCCTTCCTGTACATTTCAAAATGAATGAAGCTAAAACTAAGGTGCTTCTCGTTTCTTAACCTGTTCACACCCAAGCTTCATTTTGTTTTCTACTGTCACCTTGGTTAGTGCAAGCAGATTGGTATGTTATTGTCTAGACAGACTGGGAAATACTGAGTAATAAGAGATGCTCATGTACTCATTCTTTTCTTTTTTATTAACATGCACACTTTACAAACATAATTCCTTGCACATATCCTAGCAGAATTCTACTAAGGTATTCCAGAACTGTATTTCCATACAGTTTATCTTCACGTGGAAATACTTTATAGAGCCATACACTAATGTGACATTGATATATCTATTTTATATTAGAAGTGTGTATTCTGACTGCAGATATATTTTTAATAACATGAATATTTGGTTTTGATGTGTACTGCCTTCATTCTTAGGTGTGAGGAGTCTTTTTGGTCTTCTAGTTGTGGTACCAGTGACCGAGGTGAAGAATCTGAGATTGGTATAGCAGAGCGAGTTGCTGCAATGGCTCGTGAAGGCTCTAGATTGCTGTCAACAGAGCTGTGGTCCTGGGGTGACATCACACATGGGCAGCTTGGAACAGGTGACACAGTTAAGAGAGATCAACCTACCATCATCTCTCGTTTGACTGGAATTGGGGTGTGCAGGATAGCATGTGGGCATGATCATGCACTGGCTGTCTCATTGGATGGCCGTGTGTTTGCTTGGGGCAGAAATGACCACAATCAAGTTTCACATGAGACGCAGACAGACCAAAGCACTCCCCAACAACTCAGTTGTTCTTCAGAGAGGGTGAGGAGCATTGCTGCAGGAGACAGTCATAGTGTGGTCATTACACATGGTGATAATGTGTACTATTTTGGAAGGGGCAGGTAAACAGTCATATAATCATACCAGAGATCAAATTCAAATCACTGAGCTAAGTAATGCAGATTTAGACATAAGAGTAAGGTGCAACTATTTTGTTCAGAGTTCCTTTGAATTAAGAATGAAAACTCTTAGAAGCATCCTTGGACAGTATAAAGCTAATTGTGCAACTATTAAACGTATGGTATGAGTACAGTATTGTAATTTTCTCTTTCAGCAATAAAAGCTTAATAAAGATGGATATTCCTTCACTTTTGGGAACTGAGTCAACGCAGAAACAAATCTTCTCATCAAGACATATCATTGGTTGCCTTAACACAAGTTACCTGACATCAACTGCTGTAAAGGACCTTGCCATTGAGCAGACTTTCTTGGAAGAAATGCTCCTTGTGCACAATTCACTCATCAAGCCATTGCAGAAGAAAGGAGCCCCTGTGCAGGAAACAAATGTTTATGATATGCTCTGTGTTTGTCACAGTGAAATACTTAGCTTCGCATGTCTGAATGTTCAGTCTCTGCGGGAGTACACAGACCACAGAGGCCATGAGAGTGGCATAATAATGATTCAGCATGTCGATGAGTATATTCATGCATACAGGAACTATCTGAGCGCTGTATGTGATGTCATAGCGTTGAGTGGATTTATGCATATAGCTCGCTTAGTTGATGTCCCACAGAAAATGTTTACAGTGTTCCATGAGCACTCAAAGAGAAACAAAAAGTCCCAGGAAGCAGTAGTTTCCTGTGCCTTGCTCCATCCCTTGAAGAGGCTGAAGTCATACAAGAGTACAATTCAGTTACTGATTCATTGTAATAACAAGAAGCACCAAAGCTTGGAGGATAAACAGGCTGTTGAGAGGAAGCTCCGAGATGCTCTTGTCAAGTGGGATCAGCTATATGATGAACAGGAGCAGAAGAGAAATGAAGCTGATATCACAAGACACTTCTGGGAGAGTTCTGGCCGCATAGTGGAGTTACTAAGGTCTCCAGAGAGGCGTCTCATTAGAGAGTCACGGTCACATTCCCTCTCTGTTCTGAACTCAGGCCGCTTTTCTTCACATTGGTTTGTCCTTTTCACAGATGTTTTTGTGCATGTGAGTGGAGGGAACCAGAATGTTCATCCTTTGACCACAGTCTGGGTGGATGCCATCCAGGATACAGATACTGTGCAGGTATGCACTCAGTATCTTACAGTAATCACTATACATATGCTATATGCTAATACAGGGTGATTCATATAGAACCGGCCCAACGAAATGAGGTGTAATATAAAATATACCATACAGATATTAAAGTAATTTACACATATCTTATCTTGGATTGTGTACCGTGATCAGAGCAGGTGTTGAAAGTGTCCGCCATTTTCAAGTAGGCATTAGAAACACTCGCTGTTCAACAGTGTACTCCATGACTGTTGCCTGCCCACTGCAGACACGTTTCGGCATTGTCCTTGACCTTGCAGCATAAGGGCTGCCACTTGCTGGATCATGCGCACACCATTCGACTCAGCACGGCCCACAGATTATTATGTTGTAATTGTGAGCATAACCTGTGGAATTATTAGCAAATTCATCGGGCTGGTTCTATACCATTCACTCCGTATTATAGTGATCATCCATATGCCTATTTTGCTCTCACAGTGTGTTTGCAGAATTATGCTGCTTATGATTAGCTCTATGATTTTATTAGTGAAATAGAAGAAATATTTTGTTTTCATATTTGAATGTACTTTTATACTACTTCAAAAATTCTGAGTCTGGTGTCAGGTTAAGTTTAATGAATATAATTTAATTTATCTTATTTTGTAATGTTGCAAACTGTTTGTGGTTATCTTATTTTGTAATTTTGTAAACTTTGTGTAAAACTTACAAATGATCACTGTATACTGTCCTACAAACTTAGTTTTCATAAGATATAGTTACTTCCATGACATGTTTCTGTCATATGACCATCATCAGATTATACACTAGATGGAACATAAGTGACAGTCTACAAGATGGGAATTGCATAGTAGAAACCATATCCCACAGATAGTTGATGGCAAGAGCTGAAAACATTGAAAAATTTATTTCACAAGCTGCCAACAAAAGTATGAATGTCTACTGGGGCAGTATTAATGACTGAACAAAACCTGTATGTAAAAGGAAAGCAGTGACAAGAATTTCACACAAATACAAATTTTTACATAAATATTGTCACATGTATTAGTGACTATAGACAGGGTTTGGATTGGTGAATAGATTTATTGACCACTTACAGGTTATAACTACAAATAAGTATAACACTGTTGCTGATTTCCACACTACAGATCACTAGGTCACGCCAAGTTTTCTCAGTCTTCACTAGGCATATCATGGCAACAGATTTATAACAGTCTGATTGTAACTACAGTACACATAAAATTTTCAAATGACATGCTAAGTGTTCTTTTCACAGGCTGATTTTCAGGTCTCAGCTGAACTCTCGATTCCACCATCATGTGCCAACTATCTCATTTCTCATCTCTCTTCAACTACCACCTCAAGAGACTGTCTCAGTTCTCTCTCTCAGCTGGCCTGAGGTCCTTGTTATATAGCCTCTGGGTGGATCCAACAGAAAACACTATTTCCATCATTATAGCCCAGCAATACTTCAATTGTTGCTTATGTATTTGTTGCTGTGGGAACCTGCTTACCAAGTCACTGCCTAACAATGAACATCCACTATTCCATCTTTCAGGCGTCATGCCACAATATGGAGACTAATTAACATATTAAACAATGAACTGTAGTGGAGACTGTTCAAAAAGGAATAAAGATTCTACAGTGTCTATCCTTGGGAAAACAGTTTTGATATATATGACTATATAACATTTGTTCGACAGATGTATACCTTTGTGATATTCTTCTCTTTAATGTTTTCATTGCAAGACAGATCAAGCTTGAGATACAGATTAAAATAAGTTCTTATAGTGTGACATATTTGAGTCATGTATCTGCAGATAGCTATAAATTTGCTTGAGACACAGATTAAAATAAGTTCTTATAGTGTGACATATTTGAGTCATGTATCTGCAGATAGCTATAAATTTGCTTGAGACACAGATTAAAATAAGTTCTTATAGTGTGACATATTTGAGTCATGTATCTGCAGATAGCTGTAAATTCATTTATTTAGACCTAAATATTTTTATAAGATAAATACCATGTACATGTCCACCTTATAAGATTTAATGTAATGATCTTGTAAATATTCTATATCAGTTATGTTTTACAGAATGCTATACAGTTAACAATGCCAGAGGAAACGCTAGTGGTACATACTCCAACACCACATGCCAAAATGGAATGGTTCCAGAGTCTGCAAGGGGCAATCAAGAAAAGTCTCCAGAAAAATCATTCCCATGTTCCACCAGCAGTGAGGACTGCAAAGTATGTGTTCACAAAGCACCATTTGTACAAGGATGCCAAATACACAGGTACATAATATTGTAATGTGCCAAGCACATTCAGCAATTTTTTACTCATTATAAATTGCTCTTATCTGGGTTGTGAGTTAGTTGATAAACAGTACATGTAGAAGATCATACTGAGAAAGTCTGCTGAAGTGGTAACACTTCTGACATGTATTCAGGAGATTCCCACTTTAAATCTTAGTTGACACTTCAACTGTACTGAGTAAGTGTTTTCATTGATTTCCTCAGTCCCTCCAGGCAGCTGCTAGGAAGTATCTAAATTTAGTCCACATCTGTTTCATTTCATTATTCACCAACAATCCTAACATTTGATGTCTTGTAACCTGAATTATTGACAATGTCATTAAATAACCCATAAATAAAGAGTTCTGTCTTTTGGGATATAATGTTTGCTACCTGCTTCATGCTGGTTTCTTGCTTGACTTATTCTTTGACCCTGAGAATGGAGGCAGCTTGTTTCTCTGAAATGTCAGTTTACTTTCAACTGATTATATGGCATTGTATCCCAGAAGATAGAACTTTTCATAACCAGAAGTGTGAGAATCTCAAATCCTGCAATCCATAAATAAATATATGGAGAAAATTACAATCTTCCAGGATGTCACACCATATATTTTGGTAGCTAGATAGCTCTCTACCAAACTATACAGCGTCACATCCCAGACCTTAATATCAACTCACCAACATGTAGCAATTCTTGCTGTATAGAGGGAATGTAGATTGAGGGTGTTAGCGAACATGGTTCTAAAAAGAATGTTTGGGTCTAAGAGGGGTTACGTACAGAGTTGGTGTGAAAGAAGAGTTGAACAAGAAGAGCTGTTTGGCATTCAAAACATTGACTCCCAAACCATGATGTTATACAAACTGTGAAATCAGTATTTAGACGCATGTATCAGAAACAGTGTTGCCACTCCCGTGGCACATTGCACAAAGAACTTAGTAGTGTGATTTTTAATTCCAAGCCATAGTACACTTTCTAACTCAGTCCTGTCTTCATATATATGTGTGTGAGCTACTTGTCCAGCGTCACTTCATTCCACTTTCTCTAGTAGTGGAGCACAATATGGTAGCGTGGGAAACGGTGCAGCATACAAAGCTGCCATAGTTTTTGCAGTTGTATCTTGTTTTACAGCATTAACTCATTTTGTGGCATGCAACACAGTGGTGACATGGATTTTGCTTTGAAGCTATGGCAACAGTATAGAGAGGGGTAATGAGGTGCAGAGAACCTTGTTGGTGGGTCAGTTGTTGATCATCTCTCTTCAGTTTTGTTGTCTTTGAAATTAAGTTCTCTGTAAGTTGAATCTGAAATTTCATCCAGGAAATTATGCATACCTTTATTCCCCACCTCCCCCTTTTAGGGGGGTAAAGCAAATAGGTGTTCGAACAACAGATATCAGTCAGATGATGTGAGTGCTTCCAATAACATTTTTTAATTGTTTTATTATCCTGTGGTAGCTGTCAAGTAAGCATCACTCATTTCCAATTTTATCATCTCAGAGTTATAATCACTGACTACTGTAGGCTTTTACACACCTTGACCTCGAACCCTAGTTGGAATCACACTGTTACCAAGTGTGATACTTATAGAACAAACATCTGTTTTTTGCCTTTCTATTTCATCTATATGTAATAATACAAATGCCATCGTGAATGCAGCAATTTATTTGGTTGTAGATCTTTGTCTTTTCTTCCTCTACACTACATGTTTCGGCCGTAATTGGTCATCATCAGGTGTATTTTTCACTACATAGCTGTCACACTGCACACAGTGTATTTCATTATCATCAGTTTGTCTTTGTAGACTGACACATTTTCTTCCTTTTTCAATATTTCCTTCTTTGTAATATCAGCAATAAAGAAAACTCCTTAGCCTGTAGTCTGCAAGCAAACTATACCGACTAAGCGACTGCAGCTTATGGGTAAAGTTAGTGCCAACTTTAGTGGATAGAGGGTGTTGCATGGTCAGCGCAACAGATTCCCATGGCCGTTAGTCTCAGTTTTCTAGACCAAAACTCGTATTTCCTTGAAATAGCTTTGTATCAGGAATATTCTTCTTGTTTTGAAGCAGGGTTTCCAAAGCATAAGGCTTTTGCACAACCCATCATAGAGATAAGCGCTTGAAACTTGTTATCCGTGGTTATACAGTATCCCTGATTTGAAGTGGAGCTATAAGATGTAAAACTACTTTTGAACCATACTGATCATGTCTATGGGGTCATCAAAAATGATATCGTGCCAAAAGTAAATGATAAAATTCCACACATAACTAGATTTGGCTTCACATAATTGAAATTATTTTAGGACATTTTGAGGGAAGTACTAGTATGCCTTCCATGTCAGATGTCCCTTCCATTCCATCAGAGCTCATCTACTGACACATCATGCTGGGATATACAGACTTCTGTATTTGGCATTCAGGTGGTCTACTATGGGTGTGAGTGTATACAACTGTTTGGAACTACATGCCACTTCATCATAGCTTCACTACCAACAGAATGAATTGTGAGCAGAAGATGAAGCCTCTCAGTGAATCCCACCAAAAAATGTAGATGTTTTCAGTATTTTCCTCCTGGAAAAATAGCTTTTGTTGTACAATTTTTTGTAAAGTCTTTGTAACATAAGTAATACTGATACTTATGTTAATTCATCTCCATTCTGATCATTCCAGCGGTAGACCCTACGTCTTAGTTTTAGGTTGGGCATTTTCTAAAAACTCTTCAGCATACCAGTTTGTTTTTCTTCATATTCTGCAATTTCAGGTGTAATTCACAGATCAAAACATTCCTGGATTCTTCTACTAATAAATCAGTCTTCATGCCAAGCTTGCCACTAGACAGAAAACGTGTTCATGCAACTGTTGTCACTGACATATCTACTTTATTAGAGCTGAGTCTTTGTTCACTACTTACTGAAATATTCGCTGTCAGTCACTATCACTACTGCATTCTCAGAAATATCACTATATTCATTATCTTGCAGTGGTGCACATAGTATATCTGCATCATTTGTCCACGTCCTCTTCCTCGTACCTGCCATAGTGTTTGCCGACCAACTTTGAATCCAGGACAACTTTAAAGCACTTAGCACCCTTTATTAGGACTCAGAACTAACTAGGTCTAATAATCTCTCTCTCTCATACGCGCGCACACAGACACACACACTATCCCTGTAATAGGCCATATAGTCCTGTAAGCTTATGAGATCTCAAGGCTTCAACATTTTCTAGACAATCAGCTCACAGATGGCAATACAGTAGAACTTGGTTATAACGTCATCAAAGGGACCTAAAAATAGTGTCGTTATAAACGAATGTCGTTGTAACCGAAATGGGCACTTCCACAGTATCCTTATGTTAGTCACGTAAAAATCTACCAAAACCGATTTCAAATGTTGCATTTTTTAGTGAAATACGTAGTTAAGTACAGACTAACGTAACATTAACGTGGAATTAATATGGATTCTCCATATCGTTTGTACTGTAGAATTGACCAAACTNGCTTATGAGATGTCAAGGCTTCAACATTTTCTAGACAATCAGCTCACAGATGGCAATATATATATATATATATATATATAATTTTTATTTCTGACTGTCATAATGTCTACAGCAGTGGAGTTGAAGAGAAGGCATGACCTGTCAAGACGTCATACTTGCTTGAAAGTTTGAGAAGGTCTCTGCATCATCTAATGTGACACTTATAGCATATCCATCTCCCAAACGATTTGAGATTGAGGCTTTGTCTGGACAACATTATTTCACCATGTCAGTTTTATCAAGTATGTGTTCTTGTAGTATGGAAACCAGTATACTAAACATATATCATCAGTATCATTTTTTCTTTGTTAAGCACCATGGCCAAAAATTCCAGATGAGGCTCAGGGTTTAGTATTTGTTCCTGTGATTTGTCACAATCTGTAAATAGCTCATATAGCACATTGTATTGACAAATGTTTAGGCAACACAGAAAGTACCTTTCTGAAATATCAATATTTCAAGGTGTGTTCAAAATTATAATTACAAAATCATATTTTATGCTGTGCAAAGTGATCAGTTTTACTAGCTCCATCTAGAGGGTTTAGGAACAGGCAATTAGGCTAGTATATCCTGCTTAGTTCAGAATGATTATGATGAGGAAGAGCAGCATTATTTAATAATGGTATTCCAACTGGAAAGTTTATTAAGTAGGTTATAACAGGAAGAATGCAAATAATGAGGTGTAAGAATATCTGAGGAGGCAGTTACAACTAATTTTAAAACACAGTTCAAGTTTCTTCTTTCCAGACAGTCTGAGGAACACTTTTTTTTCCCCCCTTGACACTACAACCCCAGTGGGCCTAGGCCTACTTCCATGAACTTCTCCATTCACTCGGTTTTTCTAGATCTTACACATTCAGTAGGACTCCTTGGGCGGGTGATCAGCTCGTCGCAAGGCCTCTACCTGTACACAAACACAGAATAACGCACACACACAAACTAAACATCCATGCCCTGACTGGGATTCGAACCCATGATCCCGGTTTCCAAGTGAGCAAAGACAGTACATGCCTTAGACCACTTGGCTACACTTTATATAAACATAATCAGGATAGACAAACTTCCAAACAAGATCATTCCAGATATACAGAGCTGAACCATCCATATGTTCACATTTGCTGATATATATATGTATACCACATTGTTCTTATGTTTTATTTAGTAGTTTAATGTGTGTCTGTAGGCCGGTGGTACAGTGGCAAACTTCAAGGTCCTGGTAAACTGGAGTGGCCAGATGGGAAAGTGTATGTGGGCCAATTTCAGAACAGTCAGATGAATGGGATTGGGCGAATGGAAAATCCAGGCATCAGTACATACGAAGGGCAGTGGAAGGATGGACAGCAGGATGGCTACGGGATAATGAAGTAAAATTACAGATTTTAATAAATAGTTTTAATCCTTTAAAGACACAACATATATGATACTATTCATGGCAGCAGTGTGGGAAATTTAAATGTTTAGCTAATAAAGAGCTAGAAATTAAATCCTTTAATTGTCTCTACGGATCCATTTGTTAAGATTCACCATAGCTTAATATTTTTTAAGATACTGCATTCTAACAAAAAGTATTTTGAATAATTATAAACAGAGCAGTAATATGTATATAAACAAACAAAGTCCNGTTCCAGACCCATTACCTCTCAGAAAATCTGGTAGCGCCAGGAATCGAACCTGGATCTCTGGATCTGTAGCCAGGAACTCTGGCCACTAGACCACAGAGTGGGGGTCCGATGCTTCTAGGTGTTTGATTTCAATTTCTTGATGCATACACACAATAATATGTATATATACATTATTTCAATAATGATTTTAGTTGTCCCTGTGCTTAGTTTTTAAGCACTGCACAGGAAGACGTGATGGAATGGAGGCATAGCTCTACCATTCTTGACCTTGATACTAGATGGAGGTGATAAGTCAGATTCAGGCCCCTGCTGCTTTACCCCTGGTGAAAGAGCGTCTGGTGCCCATTGGATGGGAGGCTGAGTGGGTCTGAGAACCAGTCTGGACGTTATGGAGAAGAAAAAATCTTGCACTGCTGGTTTACAGTTTTAAAATTCAAGCAAAATCATATCTATAGAAATTACAAGAAGTTTATTAACTGATGAGTTATGTAACAGGAAATACATTTTGCCTCTGAAGTTATCAAACTGGGAACAGTGCTTTTTCTTCCTAGCATGATGCTGTGTTACCGTCAACTGTTTATACATCATATGTCAGTCATTTGTGCTTTCACTTCTTTTGGTAGACACAATCTATGATATGAAGTGTTTGTTGAGGTAACACCACAGGTGCTTGACCCATTGTTTTGAATTTCATTTGAGCAAATCACGTTGTATACAGAAACATAGCAATTACCATTGCATTTCAAAAGGAAATTTCAGTAATGCATCTCTCAGTGATTTAATCTGAAACATGGATAGATAAGCAAATGAAGTCTCACTTTTCACAATAGTAACATCATCTTGTAATGTGAATCAGACAGCCTACAAGTTATCTTGAAACACTTCATGAGTTTGCTCCCACATTAGCTATAAATTACAACTATTAAGTGTTCAGGATAGAACTACAAGTTGGAAGAAAATGTTTCACAAAAGAGATTTTTCTCTTTTCCATATGATCAAACAGGCTCTGGTGCATACCCAGCCCCATATACTATGGATACCAGGGATGTTTTACCTGGGAGTATAGTGACAGGAGTGTGAAGCTCACTAAGCACTTCCACATAGTACTGAGGTTAAGAATCATGGGGCTATGCCTCCACTCCCCTATTCATCTTCATGGCATTGGTGCTTGCTTAATAAATAATTAATAACAATTTCATCTTTCTGCCTTACTAGAAGGGTTCTTTAGGGGATTAAAGATTATTTCTGTTGTCCCCATTTTCAGATGGCAGTCTGAATTCTTGAACTTTAGAAATTAGAAGAAAATTGATAACAGCTGATAAATGTACATGGCTGATTTTTGCCCCTTGTTATGCAACTTATGTGAAATATTTTATCAGGTACACAAATGGTGATGTATATGAAGGTCACTTCAAAGATGGTGTTGCTCATGGACATGGATTACAGAAACAAGGGCACTTCATGGCATCTGTGGCATCTGTTTACATTGGAGAATGGGTTAATGGTGTGAAACAAGGCTATGGTGTCATGGATGATATTGTGACTGGTATGCTTCTGTTAAATAAAATTTGTGTTGATTTAATGTACTCATACTTGTCTTATCCCTTTGAGATATTTATTATTCAGTTTGAAAACTTTTGTCATCCTGTGTACTTTCCAAATCAGGATATAGAGAACAAGTATTTTTCTTTCTAACATTTGCTGTTATATAGGTTTGAAAAGTGGTCTATTACTTTGCGGTGAGAACATAAATTAGAAGTGTTTGAAAATGAATGCTCTGAATGTAAGAAAGGTGAAATAAGTGCCTGTTCAGGATATAAGACATTGAACCATGTGATTTATACAGGTCACCCAGTAATGTCATAATAGTGAAATTTGAGATGCTGAGCTTGTGGCCAGGATGGGGCAGCAGGGAATGCGTATAGAATTTTTGTGGAGAAACCTCTTAATTGCTGCTTCCTAGGGAGACCAAGAAGAAGATGTAAGATTAAGAGTGAGATGAAACTTTGGGGGATAAGAGAGTGAGGATTGGAGACAGGCAGAATCCCTTCAGGATCATGCCATGGGACTGTGGTACTAGCAGTGTCAAGTCTTTGAGTACTCTTCACAAATTTAATCAGTAACATATAATTTTTGTATTGTAGACTAGTGTGCTGGTAGTCTGATTTTTCCATACATTTTTTCTACAGACTGGAACCTCTGTAATATTTTCTGCACTGGATCGAAAACAAGTATTATATTAACTAAGTAAATGTGGTAGCAAAGATATGCATTCAGTACAATTTATATAAATGATGTATTTCAATAAACTCTTTACCGTTTGGAACTGTAACAGTTTGGCCGTTAGTGAAACTAAAGAGTAATACTGTAAGTCATATTATCCACACTACTACAAAGGCAGCCACTTTTCACTGAGCATTTTATGTGATGGTAAGTCTGATGTATCTGCAATATGTTTAATAAAATTAAACAAGTAATGCAAATCTCTGGTGACCTTGATTTGGACCGTGGTCAGGTCATATGGGATTTGTGGTGGACAAGGAGGCATTGAGTAGGTTTTCTCCAAGTACTTCAGTTTCCCCTGTCAGTTTTTATTCCTTGAAGTGCTCCGTAGTCTTCAGTTGGCCTGTCCTTGGCACTGTATAGCCTCAGTGCTGGCAGTGTTGTTAAATAACAACGGAAACAAATACAAATCTTACAAGTTCATCGTTTCCAGCACAGCCCACCTGTTTTTCAGCATACAATTAACAGCCAGTTATCTAATATCCAAGCATCTGGAATTCTTATCCACTGGAAAAAATTTCAAAGAAAATTTATTATTTATTATGCAGTTACTCATAAACTTCTTTACAATGCAGATATATTCACCTGCCACATTATAGTTTCCCCAGCTGCTATAACAGTACCATCCATCATCCTCCCTCATTCAGGTGTCATTACAGTTTAGGTTAGTTGAATATGTGTTTGGATTATAATACATGTATCCAAGGTCTTTCAGTATTCAATCCAGTATGTTACCTAGGAAGACTTCCATGCAAAGAGCTAAAGTGAAAACATGATTGACTTTGTACTGAGTTTATGAAACAGCTTTCCTCATGTAACTGGAAGTCACATGACCAGCAAACCCCATTCTCCATACATGCCAGAGAACAAGGAGTTTGTTATACATGGTTCTCATTGGGGTCAGAGATAAATGTTTTCAGCTAGGCAGCAAACTTTTTGTGCACCATCTCCATTTCATGGTTCCTGTCAAAACAACAGCCGTTTAAAGCATTTCTGAGTGGTGGCAATAAATGATAGTTCAAGGGGTGAAAATCAAGGTTTGACAGTGAATGGTTGCATTCCCAGTGTATTTAAATGTACGTAGAACTGTAGATGTCAGTCAGATACAGTGTTCATTGTAAAATGATTAGAAGGTTGTGTTATTCAATGACTGTAATTTTCTGTCATCAGATCAGGGTTGTATGGTGAATGTTTTAGGGTTTCATTGCGTAGCTGCAGGAGTGTTGTGTGGGCACCAGTATGAGGATGGTCAGTGCCATGTAACAGCACACTTGTGACACTGGCCTCGGTGTTTACTTCAAATCACCGGCTTCAGCTTGTCACATAGGATCTCATTGTAATGCTTATGCTTATCCCCACACTCCTTTCCTGATAATGATCAAAGACTGGTTCTTGTATTACCTTTCCTACTGTTGGCTGAGATTTGACCTTTTTAATGGGGGACATCAGGTGTTCTGGTAACTCCTTTCCAGATCATAATGGTGAATTCTTATTTTATTACCAGTGACACAGTGGCTCAGAAAGGGTCACATTCCTCATGATACTGGCGTAACAGGTGGCTATATATGCCAAAACAGTTATGCCTTTGTTATTATATGAGTTGTTTAGGAACCCATCTTGCACATACTCTAAGAAAGTAAAGTCTGTGGTGACGATTTCATAGGCTGGGCCATAATAGATGTAGCCATTAATGTGGATGGATACTTCTTGGGCCACTTTTGGACATGTAAGTCCACACAAGCTTTGCTGCAGCAAAACACTGTCACCATACTGTGCTGATAGTCTTTGATGCATTTATTCACCTCTGACACATTCAACCCCCCCCCACATACATTACATTCTGCTGCTATTTTCTGCATATAGTGAGTGAAGCAACCATGTCGACAACATTAGTGGTTCAAGACAACCACATGGTTGATATAAATATATCACTACACCAACAGGAAGATTCTGTGTTTGGGGTGTGTGCATATTCAGCAGTGGGGCCAGTTTCAAAAGAAAGAACACACTGCAGATATGTTTTGACTTACCTGCATATTTAATACCCTTTGTGTATGTCCTCCCAACCCAGCTCAGATAGTTGCCAGTAACAAGGACTATCTTTCTTAGAGTTCTCAACTCTAGGCATTTCCTGCCTCTCCTTGTTTTATGAAAGCCTGAAGGTGAACACAGAGCCAGCCTCTGAAACATTACAGTCATAATCTCGACTACAAACAATGGATGATATTCAGGGAACATCCTTACATCATGGTATTAGACAAAACTTTGTCAGTAAATAAGTGCATCTAAGTTGCTTTGAACTTGTAATCATGTTCAGTATGCATGCAAAACATTGAAGGTTACACAACACAGTTTTTTCTTCTATGAAACATTTAAGATTACAACAGATTTACAGTCTGTTTGCAACGTAGTCAGAATGATTCAAGATGTTAATGGAACTGACTGCAGAAAATGTGTCTTGGGGAAACAAGGAAGTCTCTGTAATCAGTGTACTCTTACTTGAGATTAAGGTAATGGATACAAGAACCTGAGAAGTCCATTTCTACAAATTATAAGATGGGAAGTACAGGTACTTCTAATTTATGTGACAGTAATGTTAAAAAGAAAGTCCCAGAGGTTGAAATCAAACTGGCTGGGCCAAACTTTCCCTTCTCTCCTCACATTTATCCTCTACCCCCACACATGACTCTACTCCCCTTTTTCATTTCTCTGAATTGGCCTGCAAGCAGTTCATATTAAAAAAGTAAGTGCTGTTAACTGAAATTGAACTAAATTTGTTGAGCACATCAAAATTCATATTTTTCAAACTCACATATATAAAGGAGTTCCTATACAACTTTCTAAAGTGTAGCAGAGTATTATATTTAATTAACCTAATAATTTCTTTCTTCCATAGAGATTATTAGGTCCTTTTTGCATGTTTACAAAAAGTTTTGTGTTTATATTGTAAAAGTGAACACTCTTTGTTCTTGAAAATATATCTTTAGTTAATAAGGGATTACGAAATTTACATTTTTGGTTAACTTGAACAAATATGAAACTTTCAGTTCTTTAAAAAAAAATCACCTGAATTATGTCAGGTTTTATTTAATTTCCTTCCTTGTGCCCATATTTAAAATATTTTACAAAGTTCTTAATTAGATTTTTATACATTTATTGCTTTTACAGGCGAAAAATATCTAGGATATTGGAGCAATAACATGAAGCATGGTTGTGGTCTGATCGTTACTCTTGATGGCATCTACTATGAAGGTGTCTTCACACAGGATGTCCTTACAGTAAGTCTTTTACATGTGTATTCATAAACTGATTACTAGGGTTGTTTCATTATGTATTCTTTGCACACAGTGAACATATAACCCCTCATGCCTACATATCAGCATGTTTCATCCCCAAAACTGAGAAATGAGAGTTGCTGGGTGGTGACAGGGAGAGGGTTAAACCTGTCAGTTGAATTTAATTTTATTTTATGTTAGTGCATTGGCTTATACTTTCATTCATTCATTCATTATTAGAGGGATGGGTTTCCCCGTGCACCGCGACCAATTGTTCATCTATTGTACGTCCCCCTTTGATATTCTACCAGTCGCTATACCCTTCTGGTACTGGTGCTCGCTATCAGCCCCATTCAGCCAGCGAATTCGGCCCCTCTACTGGCAGTGGTACCCGATACTTCCCCCATCTACCGGAGGCATTGGAAACTACTTGGGCAGAAAACTTTTTACCTAATTTTGCTCAGAGGTCTCCTAGAGACATGAGGATCTTTTACGTGCTGTAAATCTACGACATGGGACCCACGGCTTAAAGTCCCTCCTGGAGGACTTGTTCCCTGAATTTTTTCGCCCTTAAAAATTCCACAACCTCCACCGGGTTTGAACCCGCGTACCTTGAGTCATGAGGTGGGAACGTTACCCCTAGACTATGGAGGCTGCTGGCTGTACTTTACTTGAAGTTCAAAATAAACTTATTCAGTTTCCTCAAAAATGTTTCATCATGTACAAGCAACTTCTACATTCTATAAAATATAGATCACAATATATCTGTATTTCAGACATAGTTCAGTATGGTGAATATTTAACAAAATGCAAGAAAAGCAATTTGTGACTTAGTAATGTGATGCCCATAGTGCACTTAGATTTGTAACATATTTTATCTACACTAAACAGCTGAGTGAATGGGTGGCTTTATATGTGCTTCACTGTCAGAGGCTGTTTGCACCAGGATATGTTGTGGAGGTCCAAATCTTCTGGTTGTTTGATTTCAGTTTCCTCATTCCAAGCTCAGTGAGGCATGGAAGATTGCAAAGAATGCATGTGAAGAATTCTCCAGTGGAGTATGCATCTCCAGTCTTCTTTTAGACTCAGTCAAATAATATCGTTCATGCTGTTAATATCACTATGTTAGAAGCCGGAAGGTTGCAAGATCAAATCCCGATGAGGTGGATTTTTTCAATTTACCTAATCCTTCCAGCCGCAATATGACCCTGGGGGCAACTCAGCCTCTAACAGAAATGAGTACCAAGAATATTCTTGGGGGTAGAGGGCGGCTGGCGCGTTAGGCTGACAACCTTACAGCCATCTGTGAGCTGATTGTCTAGAAAATTTGGGAACCTCAACATCTCAAAACCCTATGGGTTTCCACAGCCTGTTACAGGGATACCTTTACTTTTTACTTATGCTGTTAATATTACAGCAAAATATGGTTTAGTAAATGACCTAAAGCAGTGTTTCTCAACCGCCAGGCTACGGCCCAGTACGAGGCCCTGGCATCAATTGTGCCAGACCTTCATCTTATGAAAAAGTAATTTACCGGGCTGCAGTCTCACAAAGGTTGAGAACCACTGAACTAAAGAATTAAACTTCTGTAGTTTTGTATAGCCTAATGACTGTGTAATAAAGAGCTGTGTGAGATTGGAGGTTCTTACAGCAGTGACAAAATTACTGGCTTTCAGGATTTGACACTGTCTAGTTAGGTAGATATTTAAAAATGCTCCAGAGGAACATCAGGAAACATCTACCAGACCATACGGTGTCATATCACAGAAGTCAGTAATCTTCTAGATTTCGGTGTACATGTGGAAATAGAATTGATGTTCAGTTTAAACTTCCATGAACAGTGAGTCTGTCTTACCAGGGGCATGGTATTATGGTTTTTGAAGATGGAACACACTATGAAGGGGAATTCCGAGCAGCAGGTGTGTTTAGTGGAAAAGGAACTCTAATTTTCAACAGTGGTGATCGCATAGAAGGTGCATTGCATGGTGCATGGAATGAAGGTGTCAAAATAACTGGAACCCTGCATAAAAACACAGCCACTCCTCCAAATCAGCTCAACACGAAACCAAGGTACCTTCTTCGAAATTTAAAGTACTTACATGTGGTAAGTAGGCTGGCAAGGAAATAAATACATATAGTGATCTGTCNGTCACACTTCCTTGAGAGCTACAGAAGCAGTGATCTGCCCGCACAGAGGAATGTTGGGTCAGCTTTTCTGTGAAGAAGCTTCCACTCTGTTTGGCTGACCAAGTCACAAACAGTCTTACCTACATGTAAACGAAATCGAACCCAGTGCCATGATGAAGGGTTTTATTGTTCAGAGCCAACAACTGGACCTCTGACTTGAACTTGCGTGGGTTTGTTTTGGTTTCAAACTCAAGGTCTAACCGTCAGCACTTCTAAAGTGAGCACGTGTCTTGCATCCAGTATACTGGACTTTCGGCATCTTCGAGGTCACAGGTACCGTCCGGTATACCGGACTTTCGGTCGTTAAAGGTTAATATGTGGTAGCCAACAGTATTTGTAATTTGGTGTCATCACTATCATACATGTTATCACATCAGTGAATTCTGTCCAGTAAAATGTTAGTGTAGTCCAGATTTTGTGTAACTGTAGGGCAATAATAACTTTATGTTTCTAAAGTAACCTGTTTTCCATTTACATGTACTACAGCTCATTTGGAAAATTGTGCGTTGCTGCAAATCAGAAATGGATGGCCATTTTTCGACAGTGCTACCAGCAGTTAGGTATGCCAGAGCCAATGGGTACAAAGGGTGCTAAAACAAATGTAGAGCTTCAGAAGGTGTGGGAGAAAGTTGCAGTGGTTATCAACAACTCGCAGCAGGAGCGGGGAATTCCATCATCTGACCAGCTGGACACTATACCACAGTTTGGCAGAGACAGACTGGACAAGGAGTCATACCAAGAACTACGTTTATATCTAACGAAGGTGTGCAGTGGGAATTAGTAGTCTAATAATGAGTTATGAGTGTGTTATGTATATGTTATGAAATTATGCACTAAAAGAGAAATACAGTATTCAGGATCATAAGGCTGTTACAGATAAAATGTTGAAGATATCCCTTTATCATGGTTTCCTCAGACCAGTACTAACGTATTAGAACTGTTTGTGGCAAATTAGTGTCAAACATGTGTTTAAAATCTGCATATCTTCAAAGAAGTTTTTGAATGCTTTACGACTAGAATATCCAGATCAGAAGATAAACTATTACATAACATTTTTACAGACTATATAAAAAACTGGGTGGTTGTGGGTTCAAGTCCTGATGAGGTCATTCGATTTTTTCAGTTGACCTAATCCTTCCAGCCGCACTAGGCCTTGGGGTTTACTCAGCCTCTAGCAGAAATGAGTACCAGGAATTAATTAATTTTCCTGAGGAGTAAAGCACGGCCAGCACGTAAGGCTTACAACCTTACCAACATCTTTGAGCTGATTGTCTAGATAGTGTGGGACCCTCAAGTCTCACAACCCTATGGGCCATCACAGCCTGGTACACAGATAGCTTTACTTTTTTTTTTTTACTGTTTTACAGATACTGCAATTTCATTCATTAAGGAAACATGGTACTATGACTGGAAAAGCATGTTACTGGTATATAATGACAAAAGGGATATTTTAATACGCACCCTTTCATTTGCTTAATGTTTGGACATGCATCTGTAACCTCAGTACTAGATGAATGTAAGTGGTCAGCTTCATCCTCTGGATGATTTACCCTTGAGGAAAAGTTTCTCAGTGGGCAGTATTTTCATAAATAAGAAGCTGGTAGAAGAACAGGAAATTAGAACTGATTTGTATCTTTTTGCCATGTTATTGGACAGCTGGACTCTGTTCTCTGTAGGAAGTAATGAGAAAATATGTATGAAAGAGTATTTCATGACATACAGTCAGTGTTGTAGTGTAAATACAGTGATAGTGAATCATCTAAAAGTAAGTAAAGCTATCCCTGTAACTGACCATGAAGGTCCATAGGGTTGTGAGACGTTGAGGGTCCCACATTATCTAGACAATCGGATCAAAGATGGCGGTAAGTTTGTCAGCCTTACGCGTCAGCCACGCTTTACTCCCCAGGAAAATTATTTAATTAATTCCTGGTACTCATTTCTGTTTGAGGCTGAGTCGACCCCAGGGCTATAGTGTGGCTGGAAGTATTAGGTCAATTGAACAAAATCCAATGACCTCATTGGGACTTGAACCCATGACCTTCCAGCGTGTAGCATAGCCCCTCAACCAACTACGCTACTCACCACTGAATTCAGATGACCCTAATTTTTGGTTGTTATTATTATAAAAAATGCATAAATAAAATGCTGAAAGTTTGCAGTAGAGTTGTAACCTGTGTTTCATATAGGCATTTGAGAGTCAGCATCATCCTCTGGGAAGACTGTTGGCTGAAGTGACAGCAGCATACACAGCAACATATGGTGGTGTTCGTGTTCATCCCCTCCTGCTAAGTCATGCTGTTGCCGAACTTCATTCAATCACGGCACGCATGTATGAGGTTGTTCGAGCTTTATTTCCTGCTCTTCCAGTGCTTGGCCAGGAGTTGCGACTTGTGGAAAGTCAGGAAGCTGAGCTAGAGAGGTGAGTTGACCCTGAAATTATTTGTTATCAGCTCATTACTTCATTTGTGTATCTCTTGATGGCTGACTTGCTTACATTTAATTTGTACTTAATTTGAGAAAGTAAATGGTGATGTGTTATGTCTGTGTATGTGTGTATTCACCATTTATAAAATTACTATCTCCAAAAATACCAACATAACAAATTTTTGGGCGGAAGCAAGATGTAAGATTTGATATTTTTTATCATGATAGGTCCTTAAATTATATGCTCTCCTGTTGTGAAAAATTGTCTAACCTTTGCAATTTATTGCCCGAGAAGTGATAACATAAACATAGGTCTACTAATATAGTGCAGCATGTTCATGTCATGAGTCATAGCTTGTTCACGGCTCATATTTCATGTTCAAGAGGTTGATATTGTAACATCGACCTCAAAACAAACAACAAAACAACATTCACTGTTACGCAACAGATTCTTGAGCAGTTGAGACTTCTACAATGTTACAATGTAAATATTTATGAAAATAATGTCATTATATATCTTTTTGTACTTTAAAACACTGTTATTTATTTTTATGGTTCCTGTATTCACATGACATCACAAATCTCATGAGAAGGCAGTGAAAAATGGATTAGTTTCAAGGTACTGAAATGGTCATGTTGCAGTGAAGTGGTGAGTGCTGCAGCATTGCTACATCCATTTTTGCTGCCAAGAGTGCATTCAGCTTTATTTGTGCTGTATGCACTGCACAACAAGGAGGAGGATGATGCATACTGGAAGCGTCTCCTTAAATGGAATAAACAACCCGATATTACTCTCATGGCATTCCTTGGCATTGATCAGTAAGTAACATGTGTAGTGTAGAATTATGTGTATGCTAAATTCTGACCACATGAATTTTAGGTTAGTTCCATTTCTTGCATACCATGGTGGTGCAAGATACAGTTTCTTTTTTTCTTGTGGCGCTACAGCCCCAATTTTGGTCTAGGCCTACCTCCATGAAACTCTCAGTTTCACTTCAGTTTACTAGATCTTAGACATTTGGCAGGACTCCTTGAGTGGGTGATCAGCTCATTGCAAGGCCTCTACCTGTACACAAACAGAAAAACGCATGTACACAAACACTAAACATACATGCCCTGAGTAGGATTCGAACCCATGATCCTGGCTTCCGAGTGAGCAAAGACAGTGCATGCCTTAGACTGTTCGGCTACTGTGACTGGCTGCAAGATACAGTTTACTACTTACAAAACCATCAACAAGCATGTAATTAGCCCTAATAGTCTCAAGATTGATGTCAACTGTGGTGAACCTCCACATCCTCTATCTACTGTTATAAGCAGTTATAACCTCCCACTAGTGACAGTTTTGAATGCTGGAGATAACAGGAAGTATGACTGTGCATTTGCAGTTACTGTTTTGTCATAGTAACTGCAAATTCAGTAAATGTTGCCTCTTTTTTCATGTTAATTTTTTCCATAATGCTTTAGAAATATTAAAATGTACTACTGTGCCTTAATTTAATGTTTTCCTATATATAATATTAAATTTCAGTAGTTCCAGATCAGTAATTTCATTGTTAAATTTCTTCTGTACCTCAAACATCAAGCAATGTTAACTCCACTATAAATATTTTCAGAGTTAAAATACTGACACAATCTGAATCACACGATAAAATGAATATAAATGGATAATTAATTTAATAAAACACATCAGTCATTAGATATCAATTTGGCCTAATTTTGGGCAGGCACAATATTTCTGTGGCAGTAAGTTAATACATAGAGATACTGGGTTTTCGGACTTTGTCCATCATCCGGATTCTAAATAACTAAGAAAATACACAACGTTTTGGAAACTGGATCTGTTTCCGTCCTCAGGTGAGGGAAGATACCTACTCTGTTGGGTCCCTTAGAAAGAGCTAGCCTCAATCACTGGACCTGAGGACGGAAACAGATCCAGTTTCCGAAACATTGTGTTCTTTCTTAGTTATTTAGAATCCAGACGGTGGACAAAGTCTGAAAACCCAGTATCTCTGTGTGTTATCCAGCATCATCAGAACCGTACAGTATCTACAGTAAGTTAATAGTTAGGCCACGCCATATCTAAAAACGGTTAGTCGCTGGCTTCCCACCGCGGTGGTCCGGGTTCGATCCCTGGTCTGGTCAAGTGGGATTTGTGGTGGTCAAAGTGGCGCTGGGGCAGGTTTTCTCCGAGTACTTAGATTTCCCCTGCCAATCTTCATTCCACCAATTGCTCCACAATCACCCTCACCTATCATCTAGGGCTGGTACAATAGGCCAGAAGTGGCCGCAGTACAAGGAACTTAGTCCCACCCCACTATCAATAAAAAAAAGTTAATAGTTGGATTTCTGTTGCAAATACTATCACATGTCCACACATTTTATACCAGTCTATGTTTTTTTGAGATTTAATTTATAATTAGTGACTATGCTTTTGAGTTACTTTTGGAATAATTTAATGTTTCCATTCAGACAGAATATTTGAAGTGGAACATTTACGTTGGAAATATTGCCATGCTAATCCATGGACTTGTCAGTGATGAAGTACTAGACTGTAGCCATATATGACCAGATTTGTGGGTATACAGTAATCCCATATAAGGTCCATTATAATGACTGAGTCTCATAACAAACAGTAACTTTATAGTGTTACTAATATTTGGTTGGATGTCATATTTTTTTAACTTTAAAATGCATTGACCTGTTTTTATGGAACATGGTAAACATTTTTACGATAAATAGAATTTAAGTATGAAATTTAATTAAGGTTAGCTGTATCTCAGTCACAGAAATAGAACAGAAACTATGTGAAATGTATATTTACATCCTGATCTTATGATTATTGGTGAGCACTTACAGATTAGCACATGAAATTTGGTATGTTGAGAGATTATAAATGCAACTACAAGAGTTGATGAAACATGTGTTTTCATATTTGGAAGCTCCAGTGGCATACATTTCTTGAGGTTTTGTTTCGCAGAGAAATTTGAAATAGCCTTAGTTTGTTTTGCCTGCATATCTGGTACAATGAAATCTCAATATAAGGTTTTGTGGCTGGACTTAACTCTTATGACAACCCCACAACTGGAAGACCACAATTTCTGTTGCTCCTCAGTTGAGTCAATAAAGCATGTTATCTATCCCAGGGAATATTATGTGTGGAACCTTAATGACACCAAAGCAGGATGACCGCGTGATGGTAGATGATGGGAACACAAACACAACACTGGATATTTGATGGATTAATACTGATTAATATTCAGGTTGTGTCTTCACTTTTACAATTGCAGGTATGCTGACATAAGATTACAGTTTAATTATATACTCAGTAGCAACTGTCATGAAGTTGGATAGAATGTGGTATTTAATGTTCAGCTGATATCTTATGTTGGTTTGTAATTAAATAATTCAAACACTGAATTTACACATTTGGTTGGTCCCTTGTCACCACGGCGTGGTGTGTCCTCATGTTGCAGATGGAGGAGACAGCCTCCAGATATGGAGGGTAGCTGTGAACCTATTGAATAAGCAGTTGTGGACAGCCGATAAGGGGTGGTCCTCCAGCTTTGGGGTTGGGCATGAGGTTAACTGTTTGTAACTGTAAAAAAATAAGCTTCTTACAGAATTTCACAAAGAGCCTCAGACCTAGATAGATTTTTTTGGATAAATGACCTAAGCTAAAGAAAATGGACAAGAGATTTGGTAAGAAGTCTGTATATGGCAGGTTCACTCATGACAGTTGCAAAAGAAATATCAAAATATAAGTTAGATTTAATGGGAGTTGAAGAGATCAGATGGAACAGAGGTGGCACCAAACCAGCAGGCAAATATACATTTTTCTCTGGAAACAGGAATGAAAACCATGAATATGGTAGGTTTTTTTCATAATAAGAGAAACCTATCAGCAGTTAAGAGTTTGTTAGTGATAGGATGTTGTACGTAGTACTAAGATGTGACTGGTGTGATATTGTTCTGAATGTTCATGCCCCAACAGAGGAGAAAATTGATGTAAAGGACAGGTTCTATGAAGAACTAGAACATGTATTCAATAAATTCAGTAAGCACCATATAAAAATTTTGTTAGGAGATTTCAATGCAAGGAAGACATTTTCAAACCAACAATTTGGCATGAGAGTTTACATGAAATTATTAATGATAATAGAGTTAGTAGTAAACTTGGCCACATTAAAAAATCTGACTGTCAAGAGTATAATGCTCCCACATCATAACATCCATAAATTTACTTGGACATCTCCAGCTGGGAAGACTCACAGTCAAATTGACCATATTTTTATAGACAGGAGACAGCATTCAAATGCACTTCATGTACCACTGTTCAGGGCAGCAGATTGTGAGACTGACCGCTATCTGGTGGTGGAAAACATTAGGGAGAGACTGAAAATGAGTAAAAGATAACACAGAGATTACAAATGGAGAGGTTCAATCTCAGTAAATTAAATGAGGTAGAGGGGTAAACAGCAGTAGCGTGTTGAAATTTAAAATAGGTTTGGAGAACTTACACTCTGCGGTTGATATTAACATAGCCTGGGAAACTATTAGGAAGAATATTAAAATATCAGCCAAAGAGAGAGTAGGTTAGTATGAATTGAAGAAGCATAAGCCATTGTTTGATGAAGGGTGCTCAGAATTATTAGATGAAAGGAAACAAGCCAAATTGCAGTGGTTAGAGGATCCAGTTAAAATAAATGGGGATATACTTAACAATATAAGACTTGAAGCCAGCAGGCATTTCAGAAATAAAAAAAGGGACTATCTGAAAGACAAAATTAATGAGCTTGCAGCAAACAGTAAGAACAAGAAGATTAGAGACCTATATACTGAAATAAATGAATTTAAGAGGAGTTTTCAACTTAGAGGTAACATAGTAAAAGATGAGAATAGTGATCTGCTTACAGATTCCCAAAACATTTTGAATAGGTGGAAGAGCTGCTACTCTGTTATTGAATGTACATAGAGTTGTGATGTTAGACAGATAGAAATACATGTAGCTGAGCTCTTAATACCTGATCCCTAGTCCTTTTGACTTTGAAATTGCTATTGCAAAGTTGAAAATGTATAAATCACCATGTAGTGATCAAATTCTGGAAGAAATGTTTCAAATAGGGGGTGCAACATTATGATCTGAGTTCCATAAGCTCAATAAATCTGTTTTGAATAAGAAAGAATTGCCTGATCAGTGGAAGGAGTCTATTATTGTTACCAATTCACAAAAAGGGCGATAGACTGAGACTGATCGTGTTCGAGAGCAGGGTGCTGAGGAGAATGTTTGGACAGGAGGTTTGAGGAAACTCCATAATTATGAGCTTCATAACTTGTACTTTTCACCAAGTATAATAAAATGATCAAGTCAGTGAGGGTAAGATAGGCAGGGCGAGTAGCATGAATGCAGGAGAAGAGGACTGTATATAAGATACTGGTGGGAAAGCCAGAAGGAAAGAGACCACTAGGAAGGTCGAAACATAGGTGGGTGGATAATGTTAAAATGGATCTTAGGGAGATAGGATGGGATAGTATGGACTGAATCAATCTGGCTTAGGGTAGGGACCAGAGTAGGCTCTTGTGAACACAGTAATGAACCTTCAGTTTCCATAAATTGCTGGGAAGTTCTTAAGTAGCTATGCAGTTGGTGGCTTCTCAAGAAGGGCTCTGTTCCATGAAGTTAATGAAGCAGTGAATTTAGAAAGAAACATTTTTTTTTAGCTGATTAAAAATGTGTCTTCCAACAGTCTGCACAAAACTTGTTGAGTTGCACTGAATATACATATATACGTATTTGTGAAGTTCAGATATAAAGCAGCATACAGACACAGTGTATTATTACAGAGAATGCATCCTTGTATAGCAGGCAATTGTTGAAGCTCCATTATGTGATTAACCATAAATAGGAATCGAATCCAAGGCCCGAGATTGGCTACTCACAACAGTCCCACATTGATTTTTGCTCTGGTAACTTAACAGTAAGGTGGAAGGACAACACATCTCATGGGTTGCTCTGCATTTCTGAAGTGGGGAGTCTGTAGTACACATCTGGCACATGGAAAAGATTAATCCTTCCAGCCAGTGTGTCTTCACACATGTTTTAGGGTGGTCTAGACTGACCACATGTGGTCCTAAAAATAGAACTTGTTTTCCATGGCACTGAAAAGGTTTTTCTTAACAGCAGTGCAGAAAATGTATTTTCTGTTAACAAAAGGCTTCTGTTCACCCTTCCCAGCTGTGCAGAAGCAAAAGATTTGGTAAATATATAATTACGTCTGCATTTTACCATCAGCCATTAATTATCCCATTACCTTAGGTCACCAGGTTGCAAGTTTCGGGACCTAACTGCCATAGCTTTTCTTGGGGAGCATGGATGGGTGAACACTAGACTGAGGAAAATCTAAATTTTAAGAAATTTAACAGAGGTTATTGACCTGGGATCTCTGAAATTGAACATTAAATCAGGGACAACCTTAAATCAAGGAGTTGTGCTGGATTAACCATTTGAAGTAGAATTTAAAATATCAGGTTTGATATTAGAGCGCTTGTGCACTTTAAGTCTTATACTTCCAGGCATTAATATAAATGTGATGTTATGTTTTGCGGTAGAAAGTTCTGGATGGTGCCTCACCATCATCTGACTCGCGAGCCTCCATTCTCTCCACTTGAAGATCATCTGTTCAATAATGCAGTGGAAATGCTGCAGCAACTCAAGACAACATTTTCACCCCTGGAGAAGTTACTAGTCATACGAAGGACTTTTGAGCAAATGACAAGAGTAAGTGTTTCACAGTGTGCTAATTCTTTTTCAGCTGATTCCATCTTTAAGAGTAAGTGTTTCACAGTGTGCTAATTCTTTTTCAGCTGATTCCATCTTTAAGAGTAAGTGTTTCACAGTGTGCTAATTCTTTTTCAGCTGATTCCATCTTTAAGAGTAAGTTTTTCACAGTGTGCTAATTCTTTTTCAGCTGATTCCATCTTTAAGAGTGTGTTTCACAGTGTGCTAATTCTTCTTTAGTTCTGCATTTTAATGCTTCCATTTTCAGGCGGTGAATGTATCTGTACCATATTACTTTCGTTTCACACATACTGACTCTATATTTGTAATATATTACAGATTAGGTATCTCTTTATTGTGTTTGTTACACATTTTTCTGTTTATCTTGCCTTCTTTGGTATGCCTTGATATAATGTATACATACATCTTTAGTATGTGACTTTTTGCTTATGTGTGTGTGATTCATTTTGCACCTCACCCTGCCTCATTTCAGATCAGACTTCTTGACATCAATTAAAATATCTTGCAAAAGGTCCAGAAACATGGAACTGCTAAATTACAAGAAATTCAACTTCCTCCACCTCAAAAATTACAGTTGTTGACCAAGAGTCAGAGGAAGCTTCTGCTTATGGATGTAGTTTATCAATTTTCTGGGTCCTTTGATAAGTTTAATAAACCTCTAATTGTACATGAATCAAGATTAAACATTTATGATGCAAGTTTCCTCTTGTTTACTTAAGTAACAGAAATGACGAAAGTTGGATTACTACTGACATTAAAATATCGTTTCAACATACAGGATTTTGTATAATATTATTAGACGTAGTAATGATCCAAAAATAAAACTTTATTTTAAAAAGTATTGTCTCATTCTAAAGAAAGTAATTTGTCAAGCAAAAAAACTACATGATAATCAATTAATTGAAACTTCTAATAACAGAATAAAAACTTCTTGGAATATTGATGCATTTCCTGATCGTTTGAAATATGCAGTCATAAAGCCTTTGTATAAAAAATGTGATAAAGCTGACATAGCAAACTATTAGTAAAGTTTTAAAAAAACTAATGAATGTATAAGGGGTGGGCCTTCTCGGCCCTTGAACCGTGACATACAGTGGTCTATTGTGCTTTAGGGGGGAAAAAAAAAACTTTGTATCATAGATTAAATCTAATATATTGGTGCAGGAACAATTTTGTTTTATTAAAGACTTATCAACTGATCATGCTGCTTTTTTCACTTACTGCTGACATACTTCAAGCCTGGAATGATAAACTTCTGTTTGGATTTTTGTGACCTTGCCAAGGCATTTGATTGTGTTAATCATGAGATATTGATATCCAAATTAGAGTATGATGTTCAGGATTGTAATTTAAATTTGTTTAAATCCTATCTTTCAGATAGAAAACAGAGAGTGCATCTCAGAATTGATGATGATCATGATTATTTTTCCAAATGGAAAAGAGTTAAGCAAGGAGTTCCTCAGGGGTCAGTCTTAGGGCTACTTCTTTTTATTATTTATGTTAACGACTTGCCATTATGCATCAGTAGATTTGCCAATGTTTTTCTCTTTGCTGATGATACCAGTATTTTGGTCACTGGAAGAAATCATTGTGCGCTTAAGCACAAAGTTGCGGATACCTCGTCTCTCATTTTAAATTGGTTTATAGCAAACAAGTTGGTCTTAAATATTAATAAAACTGATATTAATTTTGCTGTACAGAACCATTAGGCTTATTTTGGACTCTATCCATCGTCTAGTATTCATTCATTCATCAGTAATCTGTCAGACGACAGGTCCACAGTCTCTTCCAAAACAGTTCGTCCACTTAATGCGATCTTCTGTTTTTGGAAAGAGACTATCCAGGAAAAGTGATAATGTGGTAGTTTTTCCATTTGCTTTCCACATCGCAGTACAACAGCCGTTCAAACCACTCTGGTCACGCCTGTTGCTATAAGAACTTGAACCATCTCGAGCATCATTTGCTCTGTGCTTCAAGTCGCTGCTGATGACGCTGCTTCCGGCACCAGTTTTTGGTGTCTCTCTTCGTCTGATGCCTACCCTTTGACCTGTCCAGCAAGGGAGGCCCTGCCAGTAGCTACGCTACCGCTGGTATAGCTCTCAGGGTCCTTGGCATACTCAAACCCCTTCACCACGATAAGGTGGAGACACCAACGAGGGGCGTCTAGTATATAGAAGACAAAAAACCCCAATGTTTCAGAGACTGGATCTGTCTCTGTCCTCAGGTGGATGGGGCAGGATAAACCTACTCACTAATCCAGTGATTTGAGACTAGCTCTTTCAAACGGGCCCAACTGAGTAGGTTTATCCTGCCCCATCCACCTGAGGACGGAAACAGATCCAGTCTCCGAAACGTTGGGGTCTTTTGTCTTCTATATACCGGACAATGGATAGAGTCCAAAATGAGCCTATTAGTTCTGTACACCATACACCATTGTCAGAACCCTATTAATTTTGCTCCTAAACAGTCTGCAAACTGTAGTTACTATAGGATTCTGACGATGGTGTATAACACACTGATATATTGGGTTTTTGGACTTTATCCAGGACAATGGATAAAGTCCAAAAACCCAATATATCAGTGAGTCTGCAAACTCTTTGCTGGCAGTATCCTTTGGAAGCATAGTAATGAATGAAGTCCCTGTAATAACATTTTTGTGTATACAAATTGATATTAAATTGAATTGGAAGAGTCATGTGAAATACATCCTTCCTAAACTCAGTTCTGCTATTTTTGTAATTAGGAGTTTATCTTATTTTATTAATTTAAAAACCCTGTGAATGGTGTATTTTCCTTACTTTCATTCTATCATTAAGTATGGAATAGTCTTCTGGGCAATTTGACTAATAATTCTAGAGTTCTTAAATTATAAAAGAAGGTAATAAGGATTATGTTTGGAGTGGGACCCAGAGACTCGTGTAGAAGTCTTTCTAAGAAATTAGATATTTTAGTATTTTGATGTAAATATACTTTTTTTTTTAATGTTGTTTGTGATAGATAATCAAAATCATTTCTGTTCAGGTTCAGCGGTTCAAGGCCTGAACACTAGAAGCAAAATCAAATTTATATTCCGACTTAAAATCTTTCTGTTTTCCAGAAGGGCACTATGTTTATTGGTATTAGGTTATTTAATAGATTGCTAAAGAGCATTCAAAGTTAGAAAGGATACAATCAGTTTTAAAAATAATTTATTTTCATATCCCATGAATAACTCATTTTATAGATTTGACAAATTTTTGGAGCATACAGTAAATAATTAGTGTTTGCTTAGCTTTGTATTGTCTTTCTGCTTTGTTTGTTTGTGTTATGCTTGTGACCAGTTTCATGTTCATTGTGTTTTAGACTTATGAAATGTGAAATATATGTGTATATTCTCCTTTCACCTTCTCTAACTAACAACCTCCATCCTCCTCAGTTTGATCCTTTAAATTATTTTCACAAGTATTTTTGGTGAGTTATACCTTTTTCATATGTTTAAAGGCATTCTCTGTGTTGTTCCGCTTTTAAGAATGGAGAAGTGCACAGTCATCAGTTTATCCATTAAAAATATCAACCTGCATATGTTGTTACAATGTATGACATTAGTCTAGAGAAAATCCTTTGTTTACTCATGCTTATATTCTTTGACGTTTTCCAGGAATGCAGCTAACACATATGTCAGGGTATACTTGTAATTTATTATGTTCTACAGAAATGTTCTTGTTAAAACTGGATTGACTGCTTTCAGAGAGTAATGTGAATTTGGTCAGAACATGTAGATGCAAGCTTTGTTTTTTAACAAGTACTTCATGCACTTGGTTTTAGGCAGTGCAACGTGAGCTAGGAACTTTGTACCTGTGGACAATGGATGACCTGTTTCCTGTGTTTCATTTTGTGGTTGTGAGGTCACGAATCTTACAGCTTGGCTCTGAGATCCATTTTATTGAGGACTTCATGGAGCCATATCTCCAGAATGGGGAGCTTGGCATAATGTTCACTACACTAAAGGTATGGCAAATCAATAAGAGGCATAATATGCCTATTATTACATAAAAGCCTCTTTAGATGGACAATTACTTGCTATTGACAGTTTCACGTCACAGATGTGTCACTTGGAAAGGGAAATACATCCAGTGGCTAAATAACAACCACCTTACCTTTTCCAACTGACTGACTCAGTCTTTCATGGTAGTGTTTGTGGAAGCGCCACAGTTTAATTTAGAATTATGAAATGCAAAGATGGGGGTGACCTCTAGTTGCATGATGTTCATACCAGCTTCATGAAAACCTGTAAGTTGCTTCAAAATTCGTTGGGGAAGAAAGGCATGTGAATATGATATCATAAACCTTATTTTGGGGGTACGCAGTAGTGTAGTTGGTTGAGGCGCTATACTACAAACCAGAAGGTTGTGAATTCGAGTCCCGATGAGGTGAATTTTTTCAATTTACATAATCCTTCCAACTGCACTATGGCCCTTTGGTTGACTCAGCCTCTAACAGAAATGAGTACCAGGAATCTTCCTGGTGGGGTAAAGAACGGCCGGCACATAAGGCTGACAACTTTACCGCCATCTGTGAGCTGACTGTCTAGAAAATGTGGGAGCCTCGACCTTTCACAACCCTGTGGACCTTCATGGCCCGTTACAGGGATAACTGTACCTTTTTTTACAAACCTTATTTCATTATACCATACAAAATGTAGGCTAAGTATATTGAATTTAAAAGTATGCAAGAACTGACAATATACAACAAGTGCCCACATTGCAAACAAGATATGTTCTAGAAGTTAGTAAATATTTTGTGTGGAACTCAATTTTCCATATTCACAGCATTATAAAAGATGGTTCAGTTCCCAAGCCAGCTCAAAACAGTTTATGTAATCTGTAATTAAGCTGATACATCAAACAGAATGGCTTGGTATAGAGATAATTCCCAAGATTCATATTTGGGAGGTTCTCAGCTTGAATCTTGGCCGGGACACTGGCTGTCTTGGAGGAGGATGGTGCCTTGATTAGGCTAGGACCGCCTCCTTGAGTTCTTTCCAGTTAATCTGTCATCCTACCATTTCATGCTGTATAGTTTAGCTATTGGCACAGCTGTAAAATAAACTGTCAAAAAGGAAAAGTACAAGTATATATCCGATTAATAGTATAATGTACTCTAATAGTTGTAATGAAATGAGCCTGGAAAATAACAATAAAGTTTTGTTATTTACTTACTTAAATATTGACACGGCTTGTGAGCCATGAAGGATCTTATCTTGGCCCACAATTTCAACAGACTCATACTGCAGCTCAAGTAGCAGCAGATGACATAACTGATTAGATCATGTGGGGCAAGATGTCAAACCAGACCTTGCTCTGCTGCTACAGGTAGCTTTACATATTAACTGGCATTCATGTAACCCAGTTATTGAATTACTGAGGCAAGTAATAGCTTTGTTCATATTTAAAAATCTCTAAGGTTGATATTTGTAGCTTGGGAACTTCCTACAATCTTAAATGACATTATAGTCATCCATATGTTTTGAGTATTCATAAATTCTACCTCCAGGCAATTAATTAACAAATGTCTGTAATAAAATATTCTGGATTTTGTTAAGTTCTAAAACTTTCTTGAAATGGTATATTAGACTTCCAGTTATTAGGATGGAGTTTATCACAGTGCGTTTCAGAAATGAAATGTTTCATTTATCAGGTTTAAAGGGGAGAAGCTCTTACTCATTTGAGTCCATTAGGAGGAGCCAATCTCAATCACATTTGGCATGCCTTCTTAAATGAGGATTAATGAAAGTTAATGCTTTTATTTTTCCATGCAGGCCTGTTATTACCAGATCCTCCAAGAGAAGAACAGCATGAGCAACTAGCTGCTACGTGTCCTTCCAGCAGAACCCTCGATCCAGAACTTATATTCCATGTCACAAAGTGCTAATTGTATTCTGTTCTCCTTAGATTTTTTTCTGGAGATTCCATAATATTTTTATATATATTCAAGCTGTACATTGTTATATGTTGTTACCATTTTTAAGCAGTGTATACACTGTTCATATTTATGTGAAATATAGATGTGTTTAGTACCTGTTGGAACTCCCATTCTTTTTATTCCGGTGTGTCCAAATAATTACAAAATCCATGGGAAATAGGCTAAATTCAAAATACATTTCAGCAGAATTCTTGGATAAAGGTTGATAATCATATTGTGGTATGTAGACCTACTGCTAGGCAATAAATGTGAAATGAGCAGCTATATAACAGCCATTGCCAGGTAATGACTGCAGGAAACGTATGCAACAATAGAAGAGCTATCATAAGTGGCGTTCTCTGTGTGGTCCTTGCCGAGGCTATATAACGAGGGCTAGCTGCTATAAGAAGAGGGTCTTGAGACATCAGTGAGAAGAGTAGGATCCATCACCAGGCAATGACTGGTGAAGACACAGCAGACTGAGAAGACTCAGTATGTGCTCTAGTGAATTGCAGATTGTGTGAATTAGTGGTAGTGCTATAGTTACTATACTATGTACATCTGTAACTCTTCAGTAAATCAAATTACAAATCCAAACCCTGTCCATAGTCACACTCCTACACATGACAACTGGTGTCAGAAGTGGGATAGTTGGATTAGAAACAACTGGACTGAAGACATTGTATTGTTATACCGCCACACTACAGAGACAGGACAAATGATGGCACGCCTGCCGGCTGAAATAACCAACAGAGAAGAAATGAAAACCAACCAAGAAATAATGACAGCAAGGCTGGAAGCTAAGGTAGATGCCTGGCAAAAAGAGTGATGGTCTGCCAAGAAGTGATGGAAGCCTGTCTAGAAAAGGCGAAGGCCAACCTGGAAGAAATGGAGGCTATGATGGTTGCCTTTGAAGAATGGTTTGACAAAATGAACATCGTGGATTTGGAGGCCATAGCAGAGCATCAGGAATTCCCTAACAAAGAGGCCGCAATGGAAATTATCAGAGCACCGGAGGACCAATCTATGAATAAGGAATAGGGTGGGATACCACAACCCACAGATAAGGCAGACCAAGGACAGTGTTGTACAAGGAACTGCGAAAAGACAAACGTACAGGAAGAGACATCAGGCACTACCTAAATGCAATAATGGTATAGTGGACCAAGGCCTGAGATGGGAGCTGTGCCTGGGTAGCAAGGAAACATTTATGAGGCTCTTGGACAAATCCTTGGCCTGGAGGTTGCAAAGTGAGCAGTCCAGTTTTCCACTGGGCTGCGGAAAGTGACTGACCCCATCTATAGTCACACTCATACACATAACAATATCCATTTCCACTACACACAGCAATGAGAATAGCTGAATAAAAGATCTATTATATTACAGAGGGACCCCCTATTAATATTTCTCACTTTTAAGGTTTTCCTCTTTTAAAGTTCAGTTTCAATGATTCCAAGTCAATAACCTCAATGTTAAATTACCTGCATCAGATTAGTGTTAAAAACAGCTGCTACAAAAAATAAACTTTAGATGGGAGTTACACTGTATGGGGGGGGAGCATGTAATCGATGAGCATAGAAGCTATTAGTATTCTCATCAGTTTCAACTAATTCCACAATCACCCCTTACTAAAGAAAAATATGAATACAGCTGAGCATGAAAACATAGCTGAAGTGATAAAGATCCTAAAGATGGTAATTGCAATGTATATAAAAAACTGAACAGCTTCAACATGATTTGGTTAATTTTTTTTAAAGCTAGTGAGGTGGGACTAAGTCCCTTGTACTGCGGCCACTTCTGGCCTATTGTACCAGCCCCAGATGATAGGTGAGGGTGATTGTGGAGCAATTGGTGGAATGAAGATTGGCAGGGGAAACCGAAGTACTCGAAGAAAACCTGCCCCACTACCACTTTGTCCACCACAAATTCCACTTGACCAGACCTGGGCCGCCACGGTGGGAAGCCAGTGACTAACCGCTTGAGCGATAT